TATATATATATATATATATATATATAAAAATCGTTGACCATCCATCATCAGTAAAACAAGGTTCATAACTCAGGATTTAAAATGATCTCTGCGTCTGCAGTGGACTAACTTTGAGTCGGTGCGAGTCTGTTTGAGTGCCTCGGCTAGCTGCCAGTGAGCGTGCTCCGCCTGGTGGGAAACAAAAGCATCGTGGTCCCGGATTTTAGAAAGTTCCCTATGAAGACAACGCAGACACACAGGTAGGAATGAATACACGCACATTTTCATATCCGCACATCTGTAATCAGCACGTTAACATCAAACGTCCGACATATTTTGTTTGTTCTGGAGCAGCACGTGGTAATATTACTCACGATCACCCCCCAGTCCGATCGTACGTACATGCTAAGCTGCTGAATGGTTAACTTGATGTGGTGGATCTCCTCTGTGAGCCGACGATCCAGAGCCCGCTGCGCCACCACCTCGGTGTGCAGAGCCTTCAGGCGCCGCGGGACTCGATCCAGCAGCGACTGGTAGCGCTGTCTGAACAAACACAGACTCTCATTACTGGACCAAGATTTCAGTTTTTACATTTAACACTGCAGACTCGTGTCTCATTCATGTTTTGTTCTTAAGCCTCGTTACGCTCACGGCCTTTCCTCTGACGTGTGTGCCGCTAACCTGAGTTTGGCGAGCAGCTGTCCTCTCTCGGCACAGCCCACGCTCACCTGCCTGATCAGTTCGTGGAAGACGATGTTGTAGATATTTTGCTCGACCTTCACGAGCTCGAGCAGACCCTCCAGCTGGAAGACAAGTCATTGTGCGGCTTCTCACACTCTACACGATCGCATATTCAAGCAGCACCACAAATTCTGACTTCTCTGTGTTTTATACTGAAATCTCTAAATCTATTACACTTATGATGGCAGTGTTAGCAAAAGATCAGTCGGCAGCAGGAGGACACAGAAAGATTTAGAGCAGAGCAGACGTCAGACGCGACGCCCGAGGTGAAGGTGGGTCGTAAATGTGCAGATTTGCAGCTGCAGGCTGATATTTTCCGAGGTTTGGTCCATTTTTCCACGTAAAGGCTGCGTGACTACATATGTTTCTCTGCCTGCCTACTTGTGAAAGCTCAGCCAGCTCCTCGCTCTGCTCATCCACTCCAGCCTTCTCCAGCATGTCGTCCATCATCCCCATCAGCTGGACCGCCTCCAGCCTGCCACTGGGCCTCCTGGACACAAAAATACGCAGAAATGTGTAATATTACACATTTAAACGCTCCCTTAACCCTGGTCCTGCCTATCACCGCCTACTTAATGGCACACAGCAGGTCAACTTCTTCTACTACATCACTTAAGGTTAATTATGAGTGAGAGGAATTCATATCTGTGAGCTCACAGTGAAGGGAGGACCCGCAGCCTCTGCTCTTCATCCCTCAGCTGCAC